CACATTAACGGTGTCAACTAAGATATGTGAACAAGAAAGTAGAGAAAATATTATGATTATTACAGATATCAACAACACTAAACCAGAATCTACACAATGAAGACAATGAGTAACATACATCACGGAGAAAAACTACCTGAAAAGACTTTTGATGAAACATAAAGCAAGTAAAAAAGAAAACAATAACATGTCAAGGGGTTACAATGAAATTAATGTTTGCAAGGAAACAAGGAAAAATTAAAAAAAAAAAAAACATTTCCCAGACAATAAGAGCTATATTGTAAATGAAGCAAAATTAGGTTGTCAGTAATGACCTAAGTCTGAAGAAATTGTTGACTCTATTGCTACAAAATCAAGATTGAAATCAACACACATGATTTCAGCTAGCAGGTCTGGTAAAAGAACAGACATGTTTGAAAATGAAAGGGTGTGGAGCATGGTTGCAAGGGACAATAATGCTGTATGAAATGAAACGGAACATTCTGTCCATGCTGCTTACACTGACTGGTTTTTTACCTCCCAAAGCAGCCTGCTGAAGCATAGACACCCTGAAGAAAGAAGGATGTCAGTGAAGGCAGAGAAAGAGAAACAAAAGTCACAAGAGAGTTAGCTAGAGAGCAAGTCGGGGCAAAATCATCTTGACTAAAATGTGTTAAACAGGGACTTTGTCATTTTAAAAGTCATCTAGCAGAAGGGCTGCAGCATTTTGTATTATTTTACAAAGATATCAAGCACTTAGTCCAGAATCCATACTTAGCTGTATTGGAGCAGAAATTTTGCTAACCTACAATCAATTCAAAGAAAAGACCTCAACTAGTTGTCAATATTTGTTTGTGTTTTCCCACTAGACTTTCTGTAGGGTATTCAGGCTATTATACACCCAGAGGAAAGGAAACAAGAAGAAAAATTCCGACATCACAATATTAACTCATAATTGTTAAGCTCATTATACCTCCAATCAAGGGGCAAGGACCTAACAGAAGAGATTTGCAAAGGACAGCAGGCAGGCTGGTCGGCAGCGTGTAAAAGCGTAGCTCACACATATAACCAAACAACAGTGTTTTCCATGACTTGTTTCAATTACAAAGCAGAATCGGAAACACAAATGACTGAATATCCCTTTAATCCATTTCCTCTACTGTGTGTTACCCTGTGACTGGGTCCTCTGTCACTTTAAATAAACAGATAACTGAACATGCTTTCTGCCTTTTTTGACCAATGATGCCCTTTTAGACCTAGAAAACATCCTCAGAAGGAAGCAGTGGGGTATTTTTTTTTTTACCACAGGGAACAGCTTCATATGGACTAAGGCTATTCATGTTATGGACTGGTGTTGTACTGTGTTTTACAGTTTGAACAGGCTTTCTCCATGTCTGTTATCTCAGTGCAATACACGAGCACTTTGGGGTCACTATGAAATGTCCTTGTCTTTAAAATGAAAGCACAGTTGTTTTGAAATAAAAAATAACATTAAGTTTAGCAGCAACACAGAGAAAACAAACAAAAGAAAAAGCTTGACATTTTTCATTTATTAAAAGAAAAAAAAAGATGAAAGTAAATAATAGAAAAGTGTTTAATTGGCCACATTTCTGACTAAAGCGAAGGCACTCCTATGCTGCCTACTTTCAATGAGAAAAGACTGATACACTGTCTTGTAATTTCAATGAAGAGACAGACAGACAGACAGACAGACAGACAGACAGACAGACAGACAGACAGACAGACAGACAGACAGAATTTCCCATTTACTTTGGAGCTCATTTGGTGAATAGAAGCAAGAATTTATGAAAAATGCAGCCTTTTCTATGATATCTAAACTCCTGAGCAGCAGAAAACATCTTTAAAGCCTGTGTTACGAAAACAAAGGACTATTTGGATGAACAGTAATCAGTCTAAACAATGGTGGCATTTGGAAAAAAGATGATCAACAAAAAGAAGTGCTGAATAGGGAGCTGAAACTGATCAAACATAATTGCCATAGAAGGTTGTGATTCTGGTAAAGTCCTGCTCAACATGTTTTGTTTTGAGGGATAGAGCAGCAACAAAAAGAAAGCAATAAAAGAAATGATGAAGAAGAAGAAAAAAAAAAAAAAACAGAAGAAAAACAGGCATCTTCTTTACACCTGTAGAGGTTTTACAGATGTCATTTAAATCAGTCCCAAGCTGCAGGCACATCGGCATCAGTAGCGTGCCCTGAGCCTTACAGTCACCTGCACTGTACGGAAAATCTATTTGTTTACAGGTAAGTAACACTTTGTCCTATGACTGTGGGATGTTTATACCTGTGGGATGCAGGAAATTTTTGGGTAGAAATAAAAGAAAGACAAAACAAACAAAAACACAGGCGTGTAAGACAAAAATATAATAATATAATAAAAAAGAGAGAAATGCAGAGTAAGGTGGCAAGAAGAAGAGAGGTGTAGCTTTGAAGTGATTAATGGCAATTGTAATGGAAGCAGAGACAGTCTGACACTGTCACAGAAAGGACACACACACTACAATCAAGTTATAGATAAAGCTAACAGTTCTTTAGTTCCCACAGTAACACCCATGCTCCTTCGGATCTGTCTGATTTACATTCCTTTTATATACGTATACTTCAGTGGTTTTATTCAAAAGGGACCGTTGTTTGTTTTGCAAAAAAAAAAGAAATAAAAATGTTTTAAGTACACTGGTAATGAATTGAATGTGAGTGTGCTTGGTTGTCTGTCTCTCTGTGGGGCCCTGTGATGGACTATAAGTGGTTTAGAGGATAAAGTGGTTTATAGAAATGGATCGATGGATGAGACTAAACTGAAGCCTGACCCAAACTGACTAAACTAAAGAGTAAGCAGCTTCCCTCAGCTTGACAGAGCTTCAGTTCATTTAGCCATCCCACACCAACTTTACTGTTTTGATTTACTTTCATCGCTTGTATGTTGTAGTTTGTAGCCTCAACAGGCAGCTGTTTCCAGGGAAAAAAGCTCAAACACCAAAATCAGAGCTAAAAGAGAGCAAATATTGGACCTACAATCATTATGTAAACACAAAAACCACTACAAATGAATGACAATGTTGCTCCATAACTGCTGGATGTGGAAACAAGCAGCTTTCAATACAAAGTTATGTCAGTGTTGGTTCACAACTTGTTTCTGCTGAAAACAAGTGCCTGAAATACCAAAGAGAATTATTGCATGTTTAAAGTGAAGGTTATACTGATGATGCAAGGAATAACTGTACAGTATTGGCCTAGCATATGGATTCATAGATGGGAAGCCATGCAAAACAGGTATTTATTATTTACAAACCAGCACAAATGTGTACACAAGGGTCCTGCTCATCTGCTGCATTAAATGTCTCATCTAAGTCAGTTTAAGTAAAATGAGCTGTTTAATGTGCAGTAATCAAACAGGTGGATAGCAGCTCCATTTGGATTAAAACAGCATTGTTCTGGTCTGCTTTTGTGAGATACATACTGTGTCATGTAAACATCTTATCCCACATACAGTATTATCAAAACCAGGACAGCATTACTAACACTAATGACCTTATAAATGTACTGATTGGCAAAAAACAGTCAGTCTTTGCACATCAACCAGCACAATCTGGAAAGATACCACAATCTTCTCTCCCATATCCATTTAATTTAAGGTTGTTGGGTTTTTTTTTTTTTAACCTTTTCTCCAGCTATATTGACATGTTTATTTCACTGGTTGTATTTTCAACTTGCATTTTTTTTTTTATATCACAATTGATGATAGTATACACACTGCTGTGTTTATTGCGCACTTGTTATTGGTAATGTTGGAGAATTACAAGCTGAACATCAACCAGTTTTGACAGGTTTGGCACAGAGGCAGAACACAAAATCAAGCTCAAATACAGAAAGGTAAAAGGTGACCGACAGCACATTAAGAAGTCTGAAAGCCTGGAACAGCTTCTGTTTTTCTTCTCTGTCTGGAGCCAAACCACAAAATCAAGAAGAGCACATTGTTGTTGGTTCTTTTTCTCCAGTAATAGAAGCAGCATTTATTTTTGCACCTGGATTGTCTTTATTCAGATTTTGCTCAACATGTGATAACTGACTCATGAACCCGTGCTTATGTCTGAAGTCAAATTATTTGGAGCTTGATGGCTCCTGCTGAATGTCGATCTAATAACCTGACACAGTTCATTCTGTTTAGCAGTGGATTCCCACCTCTGTGCAGTGAAACCTGTCAGGAGATCAGCAGGGACTATTTGATTGACATGGGTGTTCAGAAGAACTCTATTTATATTGACTCTGCAATAAGTGGTAGCTGAGGGACAACTGGCTACTTTAGAGACATGCACACAAAGAATGCATTTGTATGGCACTGTTTTAGATATTAGCGCATCTTCAAGTAAACATGTCATTCAGGACAGTCTGTTGTGTTTATTTCAACCCCTCTGCATTCATTCACACACTAATAACGTGATCTCTGTCCTTGATAGCTTGCATCTGAGTTATCACGCCGAATCAGGACATTCTGTGCCAGATGACTGTATGACATTGGAGCTGCTAGATTGCTTTACTGTAAAAAAACAGGCAGAGGGCGCTGTTGCTTTTAAGCAAAGACAGGTACAGCTTTCACAGTTTCTTACAAAGGCAGAATTTGAAAAAACAGCAGGAATGAGAAATAGGATAAAAGCTGCATCTGCAATACAGGCATCTAAAGTAAACTGATCATGACAGTACATTTATAATTGACATAATGAATAAAAAGTAGCACTTTTTAAAGAATGCCAAATAGGATATTGGGCGTTCCAGGGACACTTGCCTTGACAGCTGCAGAGACGGCGGCGGTGGCTGCGATGCTCAGTCCCTGTTTGCCAAAGTTCACCATGGTTTCATAGCTTCTCTCTTTGGCCTGGACAATATACTCGTCTATTTCCTAGAGGGAGACAATCAATAACTCTTTTCTTGTAGACAGTTTAATCAGGTAAAAAGCAGTGTGACCATCATATTCTCAACAACAAATGATCCATGTATACAGAGGCAGACATGGATGGATGGATGATCTTACCCTCTCTCTGGAGGACAGCAGAGGGTGCAAGCACTTCCTGTAAATAAGACTTGCTCCTCTGGTGTAGGGGGACAGCAACCAGATCACAAAAGCTATCTTCAGCTCATAGTACAGAGGAAACCTGGATATGTACACACACACAAAGGGAGTATTCCAACATTAATGAGTGATAAGGTTAACTCCTCATGCAGTATTGCTTTTCCACTGCAGGAAGCAATGCCAGAAAATGTGCAGCCATTGCCATTGCTGTTCTCCACCCATGTTGTGGAGTTCTTGGAACTTCATCATGACACAGCTCAGGAAGACCTTTGCGAGCAGAGCTGCTGATTGTGATTTGTCATAGAGATGCTTACTGCTGCACTGTATTATCCAGTACACCTAGTACCCGTCAGAAGAGGTCATTCAGAAGCAGCTATAGTCTGCAGGTAAAAAAACAAACTCTGGAGGACAAGTGTGGAAGAAACTGGAGTACAGCACACACCCGAACAATGTGGGAATTTTATACAAAATGATTACAATGCACACAGTGACTCACATCAGAAAAAACAAGTGTTTGCAACAGCTGACAGCTCCATCGTGCAAACATTTTTGTTGCATATGCCACCAAAAATGCATCAAGTGAGACTTAGCATTTTCACTGGTAGCACCTTAATGTCAGAGGTTGAGGCATAGCGGTTCAAAAGAATGACAAAGCAGCTGTTTTGCCTAAGTTATTATTAACAAGTCAGTCATAAACCTACCACTAGTCCCTGCTTCTGGCTCCACACCCACTGTCAACGCATATTCTCAGCCTTTTTGTACCGTCCTCTTGTAGGAGAGTGTAAAGCAGTCGGCTCATTGCATAGTGTATTTTCTTTATTTTTTATCACTTTCAGAATAAACAGAGTGTGCCATGGCATCATCATAATCATAACAAAACCGGTTACACCTATTATTTAGCGCCAACAGGCATGATGAAAATTTTGGATTCAGATCAACTACATGCTAGTCCCCCTAACCTTTTGTCTATTGTTACGAAAACGTAACATTTTCCAAGAAAAAGTTAGGGGCTCCAAAGAAGTAGAAAAAAACGTATGTGGAGCCCTGCAGCGCTATCTTTCGTGGTTGGGTTTGAGGCTAGAGCTGAATTTATGATCTGTCTGAGCTGCCTGCCCACATTTTTCTGACTCTGGACAGGGGGGTGGGAACTTTACACACATTCACAAACATTGTGACTGGACAGTTGTGAGAAGGTGACAGCAGAGTGAGGCATTATAGTTGTCTTTCTAGCTGTCTTTTTTCCATTTGTTACACATTAATCATCACCATTGTGGTCCTCCTTAACAGACTGTCTGAAAATGAGCACTCAAGTCACCAGTTAAAGCATTCTCAATAGCAATCTATAAACTCAAAGATGTTTTTTGTATGACATATGCCCTGCCCCTCTTCACAAAAAGTCTATCATTTGCTTTGTAACAGCCTAACCAGGAAACATTAGGCTAAGCCTATTGTTAAACTGAGGAAAGTGCAGTGTTGTGAAACATGTGCACACGTGTAGTAGAAGTACAATCTTTGGGGCACAATGCTCTTTAAACCTTATTTTTGAGGCAATTTCACCAAGCTTTATAGGTGGTGTTGAGTTGATTTTACTGATGATTCTATACATGCTGTTCATATGTCCCTGTGCAGATATTGCATATATGGATCTGTTCCAAATCATTCAAATAGAAGCCTAATTGATAGATAAGGACTTCAGGAACACTGTCTTCAGTCTGCTTGTACCTTGTTTTTCAAGGTAGTTGGTAGGAAGGTTCTTCCAACACCTTGAAGAACGTCCCACAGTTCTTCTGTGGATTGAGTCTGTCTCAGGGTCTTCAGTCTTTTCATGTAATCCCATACCAACTCAGTGATGCTGAGATTAGCGCTTTGTTTGAGCCAGACCATCTGTTGCACTACCTTGTTCTTTTTGTGGTTGAAGAAGCTCTTTATACCATTGGTTGTTTGCTTAAGCTTGTTGTTTGACTGTAGACAGAAATTAGAACCGAAGAGATGTCTTCTTGTTGGTGTTGCCAAACAGATAAGTGCCTAAAACATTTACAACATGCTACATGTCTGAAATGTCAAAGAAAAACAACAAACATCCACCACAAGTTTTTTGAAGATTATAAGAGGCTCCATTTAAAAAAAACAAAAAGCTAAGTTCCTGCAGTGGATTTCGACTCTTTATGTTTCCACCAAGTCAGCCTGCTGTCATCCTTATTACCACAAGATCATCCTAATTACATTAGTTAACACTAAAATTCCACATGTCAGGACAATTAACATCAGTAAGAAAATATCCACTTGAGATAATAGCAAAAGGCTGACATGTTGTCATCCAGTGACAGACAGACATGAAAGGTCTTTTGAGATTGAGTTTAAATGAGACAGACTGTTGTGTATTTGGGTGTGTGTCTGTGTTTTCTGATGTAAGACCGTTTGCATGTATTTAGGTGTAACTCACCATGCTAGTGTTAGGTCAGTGATGGTCTCCACAACAGTGTAGAGGGCAAACACAATCCAGTACATCATCCACCGGACCTACACACAAAGAGATCAACTTGAATCATTAAACATGCATATTTCAGCTGCATTGGCAAGTCAGCTCTGCAAGATTTCACCAGCACTACAATTTGATGACAGATGCTACATGGAAAATCAAAATTCCTGATATGTTTTCATCAATCTAATGACTCCATAATAAGTGCTCAGTAGTCTTAAAGAAAGGTCACGTGCTTTTTAGGGCATAGGAATATCTGATTGTAATCGGAACTCATTTATGGAGCTTGTTATAAGTGTGGTAGGAAAATAAAACTACAAAGACTTGAAAACCGCTGATGTGCTTATTTGTTATAAATAAAACTGTGAATGAGAACCTGTGATTGAGCAGCACAACTGGACTTTGAATCTACGAACCCTTTTGAACTACTCTAACAAGTGAACATGGAAGGTATATTGAACACTTAAAGACTTTCATTTTGGATTTTAGCCCTTCCTTAACTTGATAAGGTTTCTATGATATCCTTCTCCTGTCTTTCTCCTTCTATCACTTGCCTCTTTCCCTCTCACACTAGCAGCAGTGACAGTAAACAGAGGTACTTTTTGCCTCTCTTTGCTGGTATGCTTTCTGCTGTCCTCCCTGCTCTCTCACTCCCCCGTCTCTCTTTAGGGCTTTCCAGGCTCTTCTGGCTGGATTTCCATATCAAAGCCAGAAGAAGGCGGTGGCAGGCGGGCAGACAGTCACATGGCAGGCTGAGGTATTAGCCAGACTCGGCTGCTGCTGCATGACTGAACACACACTGACACTAACAAATGGAATGTCAGTGTGTGTGTGTGTGTGTGTGTGTGTGTGTGTGTGTGTGTGTGTGTGTGTGTGTGTGTGTGTGTATGAGTGAGAGGGTAAAAACTGTATGTTTGAAAGAGTCAGAACAAGACAGAGGGACAGAGAACATAAGCCCACACATTTACCTGTCTCACAAGCTAAAACAAAAAAATACATCAGCAGACTAACTCACACTAGGAAGACACTGTTAACACACATGCACAATTACTACTACACTGGTTAATTGGTGGCCTCATCATGAACTCCCTCGGCACACACACACACACACACACACACACACACACACACTCCCCATGGGAATGATAAATGTAGAGGAGAGACTGTAACACCGAGCCAGTGAGACGAAGATGAAGTCTAATTTATCCATTTCAGTGGCCTTCTGCCTCTGTCACTGTTCTACCTCCTCCTTTATCTTCCACTTCCTAACCCCGTCTTTAACTTTCTGTCACTACTAGCATGTTTTCTCAATCCCTCCCTCCTTCATCTCATCAGTAGGGAGGACATTAAGATGTGACCTAAGTGAAATATACAGCAGCCATTTTGCCTTCCTGAGGCTATAGTAGACATTTACTGGCCCCGTCTGTGAATAACTGCCTTCTATTAAAAATGAAGAAAAGAAAAAAGAAAAAAAAAAAACACCTGACATCAGCCTTCTACAGCCACTGAGTGCACTGGTAAGGTTAAACTTAGACACAGCACAAAGCTAGAGCAGGGGACCAGTGGAGAATGACCAGTAGGGTTAAGCCTTGATTATCCTCCCATGTGGAGCTGGAACACAGACAGCTGTAGAAACCATAGACGCATAGTTGTTGCTATTAAACTACTTGTCTAGGCTCCTTGGAGGACTCAATTCTGCAGTAAATCGGCATCTATGTATTTCATGCATGCACACTATTGCTAAGCATGTGCACTACCGCCCTTGTAGCACAAGTGCTATGCAGAGACAAGCTTTGGGTTGCACACTGCAGTTCGCCGACGGGTCCATGCAGACCCTCATGGATTTGGGTGAATGACCCTAGTGGACCCTTGTGTACTTAAAGATGCGGAAAACATAACACTGGTAATAGGGCTCAAATCTAAAGTTTACTCATGTTTCACTGTCTCAACAACACTTGTACACCGTGGCAAAGGCTTGTGGAAGCTTGTGGCGTTCATCACAACTTCAGCAATATCTGTTCCGTCACCTTCCAAAAACAGGTGTACGAATTCCCCAGAGTTCTGCAAATGTGTCCATCTGCCTCTTTCTGTAAACAGTAGCTTTCAGTGTTAATTGGGTGTTACTCGTGACGTGTAGCAAATCATATAGCGGTGTGGGTGGGATATTGCTTGAGACTACAGACGCCGCTGCATCGGAGCCAAAGTAGCACATTTTATTTATTTTTATCCGTAATTGGCTGACTAAAATGATGTTACCAATAATTGGAAAAACACCAAATATTAGTCTTGATAATGGCGATAATTGGTGAATCCCTAGTCCAATCTCATGTAGATAACGTGCACCTGCTGTGTTTCTTGTTGTCACTGTCATGGATAAGGCCTGTGCTTACATGTACACACTTCAGGTTACTTAAAACACTTTAAGGTACTGTTCTCCTCTGATTATCAACTAAGACACTCTATGCAGCGCTTTATCTTTGGCCTTGCAGCACCTAAGTCAGTAGCAAATTAAACCTCGATGTTTACAGCTCCCTCTGATTAGAATATGTTAATTGTCATCTGTTGGAACACAGATGTTAATGTCCACAGTAAAGCATATTTTACAACGCCATGAGCTAAGAGGCCACCATGTAGGATCTTCCTCTAGATGTGACTCCTTAAGGCTCGACCTAGGTTTGCTGCTGATCACATGAACAAAGAAAAGGATTTCTGGATAAAAGTTCTGCAGTCAGATGAAATGAAAAAAGGGGTTATTCGTCCACAATGACCATAAATATGTTTAGAGGACAGAAGGTGAAGCCCTTAACCCCAAGAACACCACACCTACCCTCAAGTAGTAGTAGTATTATACTCTGTTTTGCTGTCCCTGGAACTGGTGCTTTACACAAAGTAAATGGAAAAATGGAGACGGAGGATTACCTCTACATTCTTCAAAACCTAAAATCATCAGCTGGAAGTCTGTGTCAGAAAGCCAACAAATCCAGCTGAACTGCAACAATTCTATCAGGAGGAGTGGTCAAAGATACAACTACAAGTTTGTGGACGGCTACCAAAAGCACCTAACTGACCCACCCAAACCCCTCCTGCTATCCCCCACCCCCTGTAATATATCTACGAAAGACCCAAAATGCTTGATTGTTTTTTGAGACAAAGATATTTCAAACATTCCAAGCATTGCAGCAGTGCTAGGGGTTGTGTACTGCTTGACAAGACAACTCTGAAGCAGATGGCAGCCAAATTTCAGAACAGTTGTTTCTTTCTATAAATGCAGTCACAGAACTTACTGATCACACCACATAATGAAATTGATTTTCTTGTCCATATAAAAACTCATATTCAGTTTAGTTCAGAAAACCTTTAAATATTCATATCTAAATATATTCATATATGTCTTTACTTCTAAAAGAAGCAGAGGACTCTGACGTCTGAAGAAATTACAAGAATTCTAGCACTGTGCTGTGTTAGTACATGTTGAGCACACACCTCCTCATTATTATCTATGTGGTGACCAGCCCTCTACTTTTATAATTAGTCTTCAAACTTTTCTTTTTGATAGAGTTTATAGTTACAACTGGCTCAGGTGAGTTATGCTGCTATAGGCCTAGGCTGCTGAGGGATCTCCCATTGTGCACTGACCACTTCTCCTCTACTCTGTTTTCTTTCATGCTACATACATTTATATACCACCATTACATGTCACTACCTCTGTGTCTTCGCTCTCTCGCATTACCATTATAACAATGAGATTCACAGAGCCCAGAAACTATTTAGTATGCACATCTGTTCCTAGTACATGCTGAGAAGAAAGAAGGAGGTCAGATCTCAGAATTCAGTCAAGACTCTACTTGAGTATCTAAAACACAGCAATTTAACGCTATGAACATCAGCTGTGGCCAAGGTGAAAACACTGCACCGACCAACACAGAATGGGCACCACAGAACCGTTTTAATGTGAACACAATGCAATTCAATTTAGTTTGATGTACATGTTACATGTCACTTCACATAGTAAGGTCAAGACCACACAAAATTATAGAAAAGCCCAACACAAGATTAAATAAACAGACATTATTCCATGTGGCAATTAAGAAGCAGAGCAATGTTTGCCCTAATTGACTAACTGAGGCACTAGCATGAGCTGGATATACTCTAAAACAGTCATGGACAACAGACACGTACAGGGTTTGTTTATACTACAGCGTGCGTCTGCATACATCTAAACATTTAGACGTGTTTGACTGCATGGACCCCAGAAGACATCACTGACATCATGCATCAACACAGATGTGGAAAGTATATTTATCAGTTATTAAACCATCTGCAGAAATGAATAATAACGAATGCCATCCTCAAGTTATTGCGATTGTAACAACTTTTTTAGTGACTGGAAACTACGAGCAGCAGACGAGTGAGATGACTGACATGACTCATGCAAACTTGCAGAATGTTTTGTTGATGCAATCAGTGAAATTAGAGCTAAAATGTGAAGGTACCAAGAGGTCTATCAGAAAGCAGGTCATTCCACTTCTCCTGAATGCTACCTTTTTCTAACAATTAACCTTTCCCAGCCAAACAAGATACATATCAATGTGAATAAAAGACAACCTGATTCATCAGATCAGGCAATTGCTTCATGGTCCAGTTCGAATGCTTATGTTCCCATTGTAGACACTTTTCAGCGCTGGCCAGAGGTCAGCATGGGACCTCTGACTGGTCTGCAGCTACACAGCTCCAAGCTGCAATGCACTCTGTGGTCTAACACCGTTCTGTCACAACAGCACTAAGGTTTTCAGCAGTTCATGTTATAATAACTCCTCTGTTGGATCAGACCACACAAGCCAGCATTCTCTCCCAACATGCATCAATGAGCCTTGCGTTCCAATGACCATGCCACCGATTTATGGGTTGTCCTTCCTTAGACCACTTTTGGCAGGTACTAGCCACTGCATATTGGGAACCTCACAAAACCTACAATTTTGGAAAATGCTCAGATGCAGACATCACAATAGAATCTGAAAGCAACGTGCACAATACGTGATACAGCGCTGATAACAAGGAGGGTTTAAGTTTACTTTGGTTGAAAGATAACATAAGATACAAGATATAAGATAACAAGACAACAGACAACTCTGCTCAAGACATGCTGGGATCCACTATGAATAGCATAGAAGCCCATTTGTCTGAAACAGAGTGGAGTCAAACAGGGTGGCCTAGGAGTCAAAAGCTTTGACTGCCCTCACTCAACACTTCACCATTCCTGTGTCAGCACTGGAGAGGTAGCAACGGGGGTAGTGAGGAATAGTGGACTGCAATGTTATTTCTAACTGAGTGTCCACCCTGCTAAATTAGGGGAAGAAAGGAAGGGTGGGGTGACTCTACAGAAGGAGGGAGGAAAAGTTATTTAAATCAGTGGAGATCAGTTTAACCTTCCTGAAGGTGTTTAACAAGACACTGACTGAGAGACATGTCTGTCAGCATGTATCCACAGGTACCGTATGCACACAGAAACACGGCAGTCATAAAAAGATGAAAAAGAAGGCTGAGCCTCTGGAGCACATTTTCGAGCCAACTTTGTCATGAACTGGAGTAACCTCTGGCAGGGTGTGCTGTAGCTGAAGTCATATCATAGCAGCCACAGGCTTGTTTCAACTGTAGAAAGCCTCCATCTTCAAGTAATAAACTCTGATTCATCATCGCTTACAAGAAATCTTTCACATATGTGCTTGAGGGTATATTTAATGAAGAAATACATTAAATTAAATTTCATGATTTTGTTTTGGTTAGATTATGAAAGGCTGGAGGTTTTCTTGCAAATGGCAGCTGGCTCATCCTGCAGTGAGATCCAGTATGAGTTGAGACTGATTCAGCACCGAGCTCCTTACTAGTAATGTCATTGTATTCAAATGTGTTGGTTTCATATCTGAAAGAGTACTATAGTCCCTTTCCACAAATGTTGAGATGGTAGTCTGACTAGACTTGACCTAGTAAGATTTATGTATCACTTTCAACATGGCACAAGTCTAAACTGCATGTAGTCGCAGCAACAAATAGACATGCACAAACAATGTACTTTGAGTGGTGTGTAGCAATTTGGGGAAGGCTTCTGACACATTGCAGCACTCACTCACTCACTCACTCACTCACTCACTCACTCACTCACTCACTCACTCACTCACTCACTCACTCACTCACTCACTCACTCACTCACTCACCTCAAGTGTGACTTACTTGAAATTCCACCAATATACACAAAAAAATCCTCATGCATTATAACAGTATGAGCACCAAATGTGACATAAAGCATTGCACGATTCAGCTACATTATAGATGAGCAAGACTGACACAATTTCACAAAGGTGCCCCTTGAGCAGACACACTTAAGGGCCTTGCTTTAGGGGCCAACAGTGGCAGCTTGGATGTGCTGATGCTTGAACCTCCAATCTTCTGAACAGCAGCCCAAAGCTTTAACCACTGAGCCACCACCACCACCAACATACCGGGGTAAAATGGGGTGACACAATCAGAGCTTGTTACACTTTACAAAGTTGTGCTTACCAAATCCATAATCCCAAGCATATTGTCAATGAAACTGAATTAGTTAATATGGCTGTTAGTATTTGTTAAATGAAATTTATACCAATGGAACATACACTAAACACTACTTTGATTATTTAATTTCCAGTTTTGTAAGCCCTTACCATAATGTGATGCGTAAATATCAGAAATTATATATAACCCAGTCCTATGAGCAACTGCACATAATAATCAGGTTATCTTGCAACACTGACGCAGAGGAGAAAATATTACTGCAGTGGTAATGATCCAGAGTTACACAATCAGGGGAGTGCAGATGGCAATGTGGTGTTTTAACATTTTACAAGCAATCTGGACATTTGTGTCGTTACTGCTGAGGTATCTACTGATCTACTCATTCCTCTACCAACACATGCAACAAAGAGGTGGACCTGAGAATCAGTAATAGGAGAAAATCATGCAACGGGAGCAGATTGTGAGAAGACAAAGTGAAGCAAAAAGAGGGTGAAACGAAGCTCAAAGGAGAATTGCAGTCTACTGTAACACAGCCTGTGAGCTGGTGTGTTAAAGCTGTGTGTGTGAACGTGTTACTAACCGAGCGGACTGGGATTTCACTCTCACTGACATTAGTTACATCATCCAGCTCCACCACAGAAACCACCCCCAGGACCTTAAATCTATATGCATGTATATGTTCCCATTACCACCTCAGTTCAATCATAGAAAAGTGCTGAGAACTAAGGCAGGATGCTGTCACCAGGTGACTCTCACAGACAAGGCCTCAGATGTTTCATTACAATGGGTGTCATTTAAATGGACAAGACACAGAGACTCCAAGAGAGATCGGTTCAATTTGACTAAAAACTTGTTATTTCAGTGTTTAGTCAAAAGCATTTCTTTCACAAGTTCCTCTGGCAAAGTGATTGTCATCAAGATGAAACTCTAACACCAACTAATATAAATCATTGCTTTTGAAATGTTGTTAGCGGAACTATCAAAAGTACAGGTCACGCAATACTCCACCCTCAAAATACACAGACAGCATGAAATCCTCCAAAAAGATTGTTTTGCATTCAAATTTCTTCAACAGTACAGGAGGAACATCTGAAACTGTCCACTTCCTGTCACTTTTGAATTTATTTGCACTTGCACAAAATCTTACCTGAACGTGATCTGAACATAAATATCTCCACTCTTACATTACATTACACTTTACATTTTGAAAGGAATTCTATTAAGATTTTTTTTTTATTATTATGTTAAAAGACTGAAGATATTTTGCGAGTCTGATTAACAATAAATCACTAAAGCCTATTTATTAAGTAATAACATTTCTGTTCACACTGCCGTTGCTAAATCTTTTTACATACTTGCAACTTTTGACAAATAATATGATGTTTTTGAATGTTACTAATATATATGGTAAATATAACAACCAATGACCCGTTTCTGCTGAAAACAACTGACAACTGTAACATTTTGTAGCAACTTTCGCTGCCTACCTAAACCTCTCATTTTTCAAAAACACACGCAAGTTAAATTAAAGACTGTGGTTTGACACAGAACTGATGCATTTATGTTGTTGAGTAATGCTAATGAACTTACATATTCCTTGACATTTTTGGTCTTGACAGCTTTGTAAGAGTAGTATGCAGGATACAGCGTCCCAAACAGCAGCCTGCCGGGAAAGAGAACACACAAAATTAGGCTTGTCATTTGTATTACGGTTGAAAGTTAAACTGACACAAATACCAATCGATTATTATTTCTATGCAACTTAGAAAATGTAAGAATAAAAGCACTGCTAATATGAGTTTCACATTGTAACAATGATATTCATTAGAGAAGGTTTTACCACACAAAAACCACAAGATGAAACATTTAGATGAACTAATAAAGAAGCCCTCTCCATACAACTAAGAATACCCCGATTGTTCAGCTGGATGATTTAAAACTGTAACACCTCCAAACAACTGCATCGTATCTAAGTTGCCAAGTAAAGTATTTCCTGTTATAAACAAATCAAAACAAATACTTTAGAAGGACTACAATAAAAATACTGGCTTCAGAAACTCAGTGCAACAACAGTGAATTCACCTGTCATCACTGACACACATGGGAAGACTTGCAATCATTGAGTAAACCAGTGATTTCTAATTAGCCTAATTGCATGAACAGGGTTATAAAATAACCTATGAACACCAGAACTTTCTCAAGTTTTGGACCTATGGGCTGTGTCTGCCTGTACGTCTGTGAAAATGGAAAAAACAATATGAAGATCAGTGACCAACTACAAATCCCAGAAAGTCAGTTGCCGTAGTAATCAGGAGGTATGGAGCAAGCCACTGCTAAGAACTGCAGTGGCCATCCTCCTACAATGACACCTCAAACATTGCTATCTTTGCAAAATCTAGCTTTGACAAAGAGACAGGCAAATGCTTCATTTTGACACAGGGGGCATCGCCTAAAGCCAACCTCTATGGATGGAGTCAAAGAAACGAAAGCTTGCTTGCTTTTTGGCATAAAACTGTAAGGAGCTTTGCTAAACATGAACAGAAACCTGATGAATACTGAAGGCAAATTATTTTATCACATTAGACCAACAGAAATGTATTCAGCTCAGATGAGGTTCAGCATGTTTGGTGTGAACCTGACCAGCACGACCACAGTGAATGCATAGTCCTGACAGTGAAGCACGGAGGTGAGAGGGTGATAATATGTGGCTGCATGAGGTCAACAGGTGTAGTAGAGATGGCACCATAAATGCCTGTGGATATACCAAAATACTGGCTGACAAGATGACTCCCAGTCTGCAGAAGCTTGACAGAAAGAGGAATACTTCAACATAATGATCCAAAGCACACTGCCAAAAAAATAAATAAATCACACAAGGGTTTGTATGTCAACTGACTTGAATCTAATAGAACATTTTGGGGTATTTAAAAGAGGAAAATGAAGCAAGACAACCCCTCTAGGAAGGAGCAGCTTAGAAAAATAGTTTCTGAAAAATGGCAGAAGATGTCTCCAGAAATTTGTGCAACACTGGTATCCTCCATGCTGACAAGATTGAGGCTGCCAAAGGTGGACTCATGAAGTATTGAAAAAATACAAGATTTCAATCTCAGAAATAAAACGATGACTGACTTGGTTGCACTGAGGTCCTACACTGTGGGGACTATATTTTTAAAATAGTCAAATCAAACTAATTAGTCAAATTAATGCTACACAGAAACAAATACCACACTGGTCAAGTGTAATGCACGTATGGAAGCAATTTTTAATTATGTGACATTTAATTGATAATGATGTATACCATACTGGATGTATTTTACAGCTTTTTGCCAAAACAAGAACTGTTTAAAAGCCTTCAAATTTCCTCTCTGATTTCAACAGTCACAACAGTTCTATGTCCAGACCAGATGGGCAGTTAAGTGGAATTCTAAGTGCAAACTGATGCTTTCACACAAAATTGTGATTTTATGGATAAAAGCCAACTTCTGCTCCTGCAGCATAGTCTAGGGACTTTTTTTATATCTCACAATGATCAGGTATTGGGTCCTGACCCAGAGTCTGAAAACCACTGGAACACAATGACTCAGTGTTTCCTCTGCAATCTTAAGCAGCAGCGGTTCCAAGTCTGGCCCACTGCAGTTTCCAACACAAACCCCACGTACTGCACTTCTCTTTTGTTTTTTTATACACTACTTTATGTACACATTCAACTTTTTGTTAGAGTTTTATTGTTTTTGCACTGCATCACTAAAAAAAACTTTCTGTAGCTGGTGTGAGTTTGTCTGTTTAGCCCTGCTCACTGCACAGTTCCTCTTCTGTTGAATGGAAACAAAATGGAAAAACATGGGATGTATTCTCTGATGGTAGGGCTGCACAATTAATTGAATATTATTCACAATCACAATTTTGGAATCCTACAGTTACATTAACATAATAAACTGTAATATAAATGCTTAAAGTGTGTGCACATTAACAAACTCCCGTCATGAAAAACAGTTCATGTAGGAAAACTTGGAAAACTCTGACATTACAGCCGCGTCTTATTTTAATTTCTTTTCATTTTTGGTCACAAACCTGCCAAAGTGGCTGTGCTGCAGTAACAGAGAGGGGAGAACAGAGTGTCTGCCTAACTAATCATGAGACTGCATGAAGTTCAGTCTTCTGCCATGTTGAAAGTAATCCGTAAATATTACTCAGTCTGACTGAGGAGGACTGCCATCGTGACTTTTATGAAAAAGTGACCAGGATGCTCATTCAGACATGAAGCTGACATGTTCAGATATCGTCAGATTAACAGAGAGGAGTGCATGTCTGAAAGTGGCTGCAGCACCAAGAACTACATCCTGTAACATGACAATATACACTAGAACCTATGTGGAGGGAGGAGGTCTTTCAGGATAGCTGTTACACGTGTACTAGTAGTGAACCGTTTGCACTTTCCAGCTGGTCTAGTCATGTAGAAGGAGGAACAAAAGGCATTCATTTCAAAAGTGTAAATATACACTAGAATGGCAATTTGGTGAGTGTTCTAGACACTTAATTGCCTGTCTATGAAACATTTTTACTTACATCTGTGTCAACTCTTAAAGTTTCTTAAAGAGGCTTTAACGGATGTGTTGGAGAATATGGACAGATCAACTCTACAGATATGAGGCAAGGACCAACCATTCACAACAGAGTAAGACTACTGATCTTTGTGGTGACGGTACACCATCGACTGAAACTATAGACTCTTCTTCCACACTGACTCACACAAACGGTGAAATCACGAAGAAAATAAGGGACATCCACACCTTCACTCACACAACCTCTTTACTCTCAGCTGCACACCATATATTCTTCCTGACAGATCTGTATGTGCACAAGAGAAAGTGAGCAAGAGCACGATTTATGGCAGGGCACTCTTTCCCTCCAACTCCTCAGCCCCACCCCCACTCCTATACTGTGCTTAGCATGTCCACAGCACAGTGTGTTCTCTGTAGATCCATCTAGTATGCATGCTCCATCAAGATGTGTGAAGCAATTCAGCATTGCATACCAGATGAAAATACATTTCTCATTATGCATTTCTCGCACGGAACAAAAACAGACTGAATACGAAGCTCATATTTCAGCGGTTCAACACAATGGTTTCGCACAATGCTGCAAATAGACAATTTTGCAAATCAAAGAGCAAACCTGCTTTGTGGTAGTACTGGATTATTTAACTGTGATACAGTTATTAAGTTTGCTGGGTTGGCTGAAAAAAGACACCTTTGTTTATATATTAGTTTTAGAAAATTCTTAATTTATTTTTCCACAGAATAATTTGCTGGTATGTACCTTGGTTTTGAAGTCACAGTTTTGTACGCTTCCAGTACGACTACAGGAAATACATTGTATTTTATTAAATACTGGTTTTACTAAACAGACTATAGCTGGGTCTATTTGCAACCTCCTAATAAAAAAGAAAGGGTAAAATGAAAATCTATTAAGGTCCAGCATTTGGAAGTTTAACTGTGCCTAAACTGTACTGTACTTGGATTCACATTAGCAGCTTCACATGTGGACTTTGCAACACAACTCTTCTCTGAAGGAAAAATACATAATATCAATAAAAGTGCAGCATTTAGAAAGTTAACAATTGAACACCACTATTATTGTCAGGCATCTGTTAGTAGCCCTAAATGTCCATCCATTGGTTGTGAGAGCAACAGCAGATGTATTGCATAAGTTGTGGATAACAAGCTTATTTGATATAACAACAGATATTAAAGGGACAACTACTACAATATAGAAAAAAATCCAAATCTCCAATTGTTGACGGATGTACATGTAGCTGAAAGCTGCAGTAGGATGGATGTGAGGATACAGAAAATAAAGCGTTCCTGGATTACTACAGCCTCTCTGTAAATAATTTAACTGGTCTCGACTTACTGATGCACAATGGTGAAATATATTTACACCTCTCAAACAGCCACACCAATGTCTTTGTCAGAAAATCCATTGCCACGTATTCCAGGGATTATTTCAACCATATTAACATAATTGAATACAACAGAACCATCATAAAGTACATTTAAGAAAAAGAAAGCTGCATGTGATGATTGTGGCTTATTGTTGGGCTACCATACCATGAATTTCTGTTTAAAATCAAGCTGCTACTTTTTAACTGTATACATTGCAACAACATGTAAATAAACAAACAAATGAAACTGTTATCACGGCATTGCCCACTATGAAATAACTGACATGAACTCAAACAGGTTTGCTGTGACTGATGTTATTGAATGATCGGCACATTCTTTCACACAGTGTTTGTATTTAGCTTTGTTAGGGTTGTCCTTCCTTCAAAAAATGAAATGCTGCCTAACTTCAGACTTCTTCTGAGACAGGCTTATCGTCCAGTTTACCAAGCAGTTTTTACTCATTAGCTACCTTAATAAAAAATCAGACAAAGTAATAGAGAAAACAGAATTGTAAAAATAGAAATGTCATGTTTATGGTAAAGGCATTCTGTGGGAGGCGGTTGAAGCAGAGTTTTTCAGGTTAGTAAAAACCTATTCCTCACAGAAGTTATGAGCAGTACCTGTGCGTGATTGGTTGAGGTTCAACACAAACTTTCCTACGTCTCACAGTCAAGTCACAGCATGAATGTGGAACAACAGTATCTCACATAGTGAATGT